ACAGCAATGATTAGGATTTCTTTCATCTCTTAGCAACACACTCCATGGAGCGGCTCGCTGACAATCGTGGGAGCAAGTCTCTTGCCCGGGGCCAGGATTTGGTTTGGACACTGCTGTGGCCCCTTGGGAGTTGCCCTGAGAAAGAAATCTTGTGTTTGTGTGAGGTTCATTTTGGAACCCAGCTACACCGAGGCCCAGTCAGGTCCCCAGGCGGTGCTCTGCTCCAATGGCTCAGGCCCATGTGGGTGGAAAAGTCAGAAACCTGAGCTGCTCTGTGGCCCTGGGGACTGCCCTTCAAAGAATTGGCTGTCGATTTTCCTCTTGCTGCATAAAGAGGGAAAAAGTCTATCTGCCTCTGCTTTATCTCTCTTGCGGTGCCCGTGCTGAGTCTCATGTGCTCCCGTTAGTCACCCTAGAGTCTTTCTCATGGAACAGAAAGTGTAAATCAATATTGGCTGTTTAGTGCTGACCTGTCCGCTGGTCCTGAAGCCATCTTCTCGACAATGAAACACAAAAGGGGTTTCAGTTCATTGAGGCACCCAGTGCGGTCTCCCTTCTTTGAGAGGTTATTTGGGAATTTTTGAGAAAAGGCTAAGGATTGAAGTTGAGGAAACAGAAGGGTTGGGTGTGGTGTGGTATGGAGATTCCTTAAAAGAGGAGATCCAGCCCCTCTCTGGAAGGTCATTCAGGGAAGGCTTAGCCTTCAAGACTCTTCATTTTGCATCTCTGCCAGCGTTTGAGGGCAGAGATACAGATGGTCCAGGTGACCGGAGCCCTAGAGAGTGTCTGCCGTTCCTGAACAGAGAGAGACAGAGGTGGGTTCCTGTCGCTCCCCGAATCAGCTGTTGAGCTGGGGACACACTTCCCCTCCCTGAACATTAGTTCCCTCACCTGTGAAGTGAGGGGTGGGGCTGACTCATTTCGAAGTGTTTTTCCATTTGAAGTCTTTGAGCCTGTGGTTATTTCCTTTTGCTCATCAACAGTCAGAACTTCTCAGAAGTCTGTTTAGTTGAAAGTTTGGGTGTCGGCAGAAAATTTGAGCTTCTCTGTGTTGGACTGTGTTAGATTTCGTTGGTTGGGACTGAAGGAAACCATAGATACACCCAAGTCACCAACCAATGCTCAGATTCAGGGTCAGTGCTGGTTTAACCGGCCCCTTGGTGAGGACTGGAAAGAAAGCATCCTCTCGGAGTGGACCCGGTGCAAGTGGGGCAGGTCCATGGCCTGATAAGTGGAATACAGGCTGCTTTCAGCCATGAGCTGCCAGGAATCCTTGTGCTGTATACAACCTGCATAAACATTCACTTCTTTGGGCTCTGGCCACTGTAGGTAAGGAGTAAAAGAAGTAGGGGCGCCTGGGTGGCTTAGTCGGTTAAGCGTCCGACTTTCACTTAGGTCATGATCTCACGGTTCGTGGGTTCGAGCCCCGTGTCGGGCTCTGTGCTGACTGCCAGCCCAGAGCCTGGAGCCTGTTTCAGTCTGTGACTCCCTCTCTCTCTGACCCTCCCCTGCTCATGCTGTCTCTCTCTCTCTCTCTCTCCTAGAAATAAATAATAAAAAAAATATTAAAAAAAAAAAAAAAAAAAAAAAAAAAAAAAAAAAAAAAAAAAAAAAAAAAGAAGTAGCCAGAGTAGATGCATGCCATTGCTATGACGGAAGGAGACTTTTATAATTGCTGCCTTAAAATATTTCATACAGTTATAAAGCTGCAAGTCTGGGCCTAATATGCTCCCCAGATCTTACACCTACACAGTCCAGGGTGAGTTGGTAGCTTCAAGAGGGAAGATTAATAATAATAATAAAACAACTTACATTTTTATAGAACCTTGCAATTTATGGAGCACATTAAATGTAACTTTCTTTCTCAACTTGATTCTGATCCTAACTATTGCCCTGGTGAGTAATAATTATTCCTATTTTAAATATAAGAGAAATGAAGCTGGGAAACTCAAAGACTTGTCTAAGATCAGCTAATAAGTGGTCAAGGTAAGAATTGAACCCATATCTGTCTACTTCCAAGTTCAAGGGTTTTTTTTTTTTTCTTCCACACTGGGTCACGTAATTTCCTTATCTGAGCCATGACAGCCAGACCTAAACTATTTAATAAGGGTTTAAATTTACTCTAACAAAGTCAACCTTTTTGTTTTAATGATGGTAGGACTCTCCCACACAGGTATGATTACTAGACTTGGGGTCTGAGTTCTGGAGACGTCTTGGCTGATCTTAGTGTTGAACTAAAGTGTTCATTTCTCATATGGTGAAGTGATTCCTAGGGGTTCACTTGTTTGGTTAAATGCATCTGTGTGCCACTAATATAGGATCCTTTCCAACGTTTTAGGTGTCACCTGCAAGGCATCCTGGGAAGGCCTCAGAAATCTAGAAAGATTCACCAGGAAGTCACCATATGGTATAAAAACAATATCTCCAGGCCAATCAGTATTGACCAAATAAAGACTCTTCAGTCTCACAGATAGTGTTACTACAGGCTCCTTTAGCTACCTTCAACACTGCTTTTATGCAAATCTGGGAGTGTTAGTTTTTTTTTTTTTTTATGCTTATTTATTTTGAGGGAGACAGTATGAGAGGGGGGGGGGCAGGGACAGAGGGAGAGAGAGAATCTTAAGCAGCTCTGCACAGTCAGCCCAGAGCCTGATGTGGGGCTGAACCCACCAAGCTGCAAGATCATGACCTGAGCTGAAACCAAGAGTTGGACACTTAATCTACTGAGCCACCCGGGTGCCCTGCTGCCTCTATCTCTCCCTGAGCCCCAGACTTGAATAGCCACTGCCTACCATAAACCCCCGGGCACATCCTGGGCACCTCTTGGGTACATCCACCCCTAAATGTGTGTAAAGTGTTAATTGCCACCTTTCCCCTCAATCCTTTTCCCAAGTCCACTGCCCCCTTAGTTCATAGGATTTCCATTCTGGACATCACAGTGCACCCCCCACTCCCAGCTCCACACCTTGTAATCATCTTTCTTTTCCGCCCATTCCTCCTTTACCACATTCACTTGGTCAGGATGTACTTTAAGTCTACTTCGTAAACATCACTAGTATCCATTCCCTTCCTTTAGTTCCCTCAGCCATGAACTTCGTTGAGGTCCTCCTTATCTCGGCCTCCCTTCTCTCCCAGCCAGCTTCCATCTGGCCTTGAGTTCTTTTTCCAAACACACATCTGACCACACCCTTTCTGTGCTTAAACACCAAAAAAGCAACTTCCTTAGTATAGTAGCGTAAGTCCCATTACTCTCAGTTCCCCCGACATGCCCTTGACTTTGCATATACTCTTCCCTCTGCCTGAAATACCCTTTCCCTAATCACTTCCTAACCATTTCCAACACCTTTGCTCATCCATCACTTCTGCAGTGTTGCCTTCCAGATAATTCCTGGGGGAGTTTATCACTCTCTCCTTCAGATTGTTTCAGTGTCCTGTAGCAACTGTTACTATAATGTGTATTATTTTGAACCATATTTGTTTCTGTATCTTGTGTCATTTACTAGATTGTGGGTCCTCAAAACCAGAAACCATCTAGTTATCTTTGGAGTCCAGGGTCCTGGGACACTGCCTATCACACAGTAGGTACCGTAACGGTTGTATGAATGAGGGGAATAGATCTGATGAGGTCAGCAACTCAGCTTGCTGAGTGTCCATTATTCCCTTGAGTTTAGTATTCAGAGGAAAAAAAGCAGAAACCATTCTCTCTTTCTTCTATAGGCTAGATATTGACAAAGTATGGAGGCTGGAGAAACTTCTGTTTGATCATGCATTTCTTTCCCATATTGTATCTTGGGTGGGAATGGAGAGTCAGAATTTCAGAAGAAATGAAGGACTTGATCAGCTTTTCCTGCATAGCCGGCCAACACCGGCCAAAGGGGAGACACATCAGAGTAGGAAGTCGATGGTAAGACCCTTGCTGGACAGTTTGGGTGGAATGTGACAAACCATTTGGGTTAGGAACGAGACACATCAGTGGTACTTTTCAGACCTGTTCCTTAGAACTCAAGGCTCTCCCCATTATCCAACTGGACTTCAAAATGAGGGTTCCTTAAAATTAGCTTCAGATTCTTACAGACTTTTAGCTGAGTAAATGAACTCCACAAGCTTTGAAGGAAGGTGCTACTGAGAGCCTGGAGTGCACTGCCCATTCTCCACCCGCACCCCTTCCTTATCCAACGGAATGTGAGGAGCAGCCCTGCAAGGTAGCTAGCATGCTGGCCGCCAGCATTCTCTGTGAAATTAGGGCAATTCTTGTCTGCTTCGGTTTCCCTTTCGGTTAGGCTGGACTGTGTTCCCACCAGCAAAACGTCTATAGTTTATTTAACTCAATTATTACACAATGTATTCCTGGAAAGCTCTTGAAAATACTAGGGAAACAAGTCTTTTTGTGTCCTTCACTCTACCTTCATGGGTGGCCTGGGGGGGGGTGGTGCTGGGAGTGGGACCATTTAGAGACTCAAAGAGCTTAGGAAGCAATCTGTGTCACAGGCTTAGAGACTAGCAGGCAGGTTCCCACTCCACGCCTGGCTCCACGCCATATTTTTGTTTTGGCCAGTTAGTTTCTTAGCCCCGTTGAAAATTTGGCGTCACTTAGCATAATTTAGAAACATCCAAGCCTGAGATGCCTTTCAGTGGGTTTCAGGCCTTGACTTTTTTTTTTTTTTTTTTTTTAGTAGCAAGTAGAAGGTCCCCGTTCCCAAAGCTCCTACCGGCAGCGCAGCTTGTCAACTGGAGTAAGAGAACTCCACCCAACCGCCATCCCCCAACCCATGTGGACTCAGCCCAGAAGCAGATGTCAGGCTGCTGAGAACCCCCCGAGAAGGGAGACACACTGGAACCGAAGTTGTGAAGGGCCAAGAGGCTATTTAGAAAGAATCCTGGAATCTCAACTTCTCTCGGGGGCTGGTCCCCTCACAAAGAACGAAAGTGAGCGGGAAGTTCCCTTCCAAACAGAGTCAGCTTAAAACACACACACACACACACACACAGAAGAGACTCACCGCGAAGTACACCGGAGGGCTTCCTGCAGGCGCCGTGGCGCGGGGGTCTCCGCGGCGAGTCTGACGGCCGGGTCTGGCTGAGGTCAGGGTCCTGGTGCGGAAGCCCGCCCCCCTGCGGAGCCAGGTGCAGAGCCGCGGGGCTGGGGGCGGGCGCGTACCTGCCCTTGCCACGGAGGAAGGCCCCCTGTGCGTTCTCTGCCCTCCCGCGGGCCGGCGCCTCACGTTTCTGAGGTTTCGCTCCGACTCCGTCCTGCCCCTGATGTCAGAGACACAACTTCCTGAATCAGACGCGCCCTCTCTCCCGCCGCCTGGGCTCTGTCCCAGCTCCCCGCCCGGGGCCCACAGACCGCCGGTGCCCTTGGACTCGGCGCCCCCGCCCCGAGGCGCCCTCCCCCGCGGCCCCCGCGGCCCCGCGGCCCCCGCCCCTGCGTGCGGGTGCCCCACCGGTCCTGGAACAGGCCTCCAGCGCGCCGCGCCACTCTCCAGAGCCCGTCCCCAGTTCATTTCACAGACGCACCAAGTTCCCGGGGACTTGAGACGACTCAGGGATCCAGGGCGGGGGAACGTGGGCTGCTGTGAAGACAGCCCAGTGTTGCCTAAGAGAGCGGCCTTCTTGGAAGGGGGGTGGAAGGCATCTGGGAGGGAGGCCGTGGGACAGGCTGGGTGAAGGCTCCCATGCCTTATCTGGACAAACAAAGCGACCGGCTGCCCTAGTCAACTGCTGTGTGCTTGGGGGCGTGGGGCCGGGGTGGGGGGGTGGTGGGCGCAGTCTTTGGACTCCCTGAAGGCCTTGACAAAGACTGCGCACCATCACGAACTGTCAGAGCAGAGTTGGGGCGGGGGGGGGGGGCGTGCTGCCTGCAGAAAATTCTCAGAGGTTCCTCCTTCTCATCCTCAGTTGCCCTCCATTCACTTTTTACTCGGACGTCCATGGGTCCAGTGTCGAGCACCTGGAATTCCAGAAAATGAAAGGGCCTATGCGAGCGTTGGGGGTGGGACTCGAGACAGGAAACTTCTGGTGACCACGTGGCAGGGAGCTTGTTCCGTGTCTCCAGGGTTACTGGGGGACAGGGAAGGGGTGATGGCGGGACCTGGCCCTGGAGGGTCCTCCTCAGAGTCATCTGGGTGAGTTTTTCCATGACTTGTGTCTCAGGTACTGCCCTCTTGACTGTACTTGCCAGGCGCTCAGGGACCAGGGGCCGGTGCTGAGCCAGGTCTTGCCCTCCACCTACTATGCCTGAGGGCGTAAAATGACTGTTAGAGTCAACTCTCTCCACTGGGGAACAAGAGACCCATCTGTGTTAGTGCCGGAGTAACCAAATGGCTCTTGGTTGAAAAGTCCAAGAGAAAACGCAGCCCTTTAGTCAGAAATGCCAAGAATGATTAAGGAAATGGGGGGGGAGGGATGTTTTCTTCTAATGGAAGGAGATTAGATGAGATTCTTCTTGTTTCAGAAGCAAGTGGGCTTAGCAAGCAGTTGGGTAGCACCAGCAGAGACGGGAAGATTGGGCTTGCAAGGTTGCTCGGGAGTGTCCGGACTGAGGGGCTTCCCTCAGTGGATGTGGTTACCACGCTGTCAAAAGCTCCATCTGTAATCACACTTTGAGCCTGCAGTTGTCTAAGTATGAAGGGTTGGGTCCCGCCAACACTCCTGGAACTTACAGCCACAGAGTATAGAATCTGAAGGCACTGAGGAAGACAGGAAGGGGTGGGGGTGGGGCTGGTAGTGAGGCCTTGAGCGTTGGCCAAAGGATTGGAGAATGGATATTTCCTTCCACCTTCAGGAAGGACACAGATACTGTGCCAGGAGCTTTAAGACACATATCATTGAACCTCTCACAACACATTTATGAGATGTAGTATTCTCCTCATATTACATAGGTTCAGAGAAGTCAAGTAACTTCCTCAGCATCACATAACTACGAGAGGCTGAGCCCAGACTTGAGTTCCAGTGTTTCCAAACCCCCAAGCCATCCTTTTACTACTATATCATCAAGTAAAGGAGGAGCATGCCTTCTGGGAAGGAATTCCATACTTGTGCAAGGGTATTGTTCAGCCCAGGAATGAGGCATATGGGGGAAGGCTACAGAAAAAGCTTTTCTGGATGTCTGGAGCAAAGTTACAGATTGTGGCCTAAGTGACAATTATTTAGGGTTGCCTTTAAGAAAAAAACAAGAAGAAATCAAAGGACAAAAATGGAGGCAACTGACTTGAGCTGAGGGCTTCAGACACATGGTTGCCAATGGGAGAAAGAAAATCAGTGGCCTATCCATTAGGTGATATCTCTGTGATACTTAAGTTCAGCAAGGAAAGCCAGCAGCTCCCATGGCAGAGAAATCAGTGACTCATGGGTGAGCAACATGGCGCATTGGCTCACACCCGGTTGCCAAGACTGTAAGGTCTGTTGAGGGACTGACTCTCCTCAGAAGATGCAATTACGGCAGAAAAAGGAGTGGGCATCTGGCCAAACGTTCTCAGTCTGGGTAGGTGATGCATTCTTTACTAAAAAGCAGGTTGGAGCACCTACCTACTATTTTATTCTCTTGGCAGTGAAATCCTAATTCTGATGAACTCATAAATGGCCCCAGGCAATCACAGTGCTGTTGTATTTTGCTTAATCCTCATTATTTCTCACATTTTTTTGTAGAGCTATTTGAAGGTGGTCAAGGGGTTAGTGGGCTCTAAATGGAGTGAAACAGAGCATTAACATCTAATTAAAAAAAAAAAAAAGAAGCCAAAATAAGCAGATATGTGAAGTGAGACTGGAAATGTGAGTGATCACCCCCTACTAAGTTTAGCACATCAGTATGTTGGGGACAAAAGACTTCCCTGTCACTGCTGTGAAAATCACTGGGGTATTTAGTGTATAGCCATGGCCTGGTGTGAAGGTGAGGGCTGACTACCTTGTTTTCCTTTCTCAGCAATGCTGTTTTAGACAGGTTGACTTACGCTGTTGGCCAGGATCAATCTACCTTGTGCTGCTTGCGGACACTTTCCCATCAGTTTGCAAATGCCTTTGAGTCTAGAAGATGTGTCGAATAGAATATGTTTGCGCCCAGGACGGGGCTGTCCCCAAATGGGCATGTTCTTCAGGTATGGAACCTATTAAATTAAGAATCTTATCTTGAGGCACTTGGGTGGCTCAGTCGGTTAAGCGTCCGACTAAGTGTCCGACTTCGGCTCAGGTCATGATCTCGAGGTCTGTGAGTTCGAGCCCTGCATCGGGCTCTGTGCTGACAGCTCAGAGCCTGGAGCCTGCTTCAGATTCTGTGTCTCCCTCTTTCTGCCTCTCCCCTGCTCACACTGTCTCTCTCTCTGTTTCTCTCTCTCTCTCTCAAGAATAAATAAATAAACAAGCAAACAAACATTAAAAAAAGAATGTTATCTTACTCGCACTTCAAACTGTGGTGTATTCCTCCCGTGACAAGCATAACAAGGCTACAGAAAGTTACTGAATGGTGACTTGGATGCTCTGAGAGACCGACTTAGAAAGATCAGTTCTGTTGTCAAGGCACAGGCTGTCAGGAGGGAATGATCCACCTATAAATGGTGGGGGTAAGATGAGTGCAGACTTGTTCACCAGATCCTGAAATGTAACAGTGTCTTGGAATCATGAGAGAGGCAAGTTCAAGACAAAGTCAGTGGAAATACTACACCATGCAGCAGGTAATGAATTTATGGAATAGATTATCTCCCAGAGGGGGCACAGGCTGGCAGCATAAATGGATTCCAGAAAGGCTCAGACAGACGCGTGAATGACAGAGCCATAAAGGAGAGCTTCAGGAAGCTAAGATCTACTCCGTGTGGTTGGGATTTCAGGGTGGCTCAGCAGGCCCTTACACTGTGCATATGTGGGGCCTTTGTGGACAACAGTCTTGGCCTTGACGGAGCTTGGATTTGAGCCAGTTGGCATTCCAATGCTACCTGCCCAATTCTACGGTCTCTGTGGCATTTGCCTCATGAAGGCAGCAAAACCTTGTTCTTTTAACCTTAGCCAAGTATTTTCTGCAGATACTGTCTATTATTTTTAGTCTCGTGCGTGTTCAGCTTAATTATAGCCATTCTAAGAAAGTATTTCCTCTGCTCCCCTAACAGCCCTTTTAAAAGGCACTGCTTTTTCATTTTGGCTTTGGACTTCTAAACAGATTTGGAGAGCCTGTTTTCATACCAGTTATTATATTTATCTCTTGTGATTAGACTTCTGTTCAGGCTTTGCCTTCTAAACTGTTGAATTCTAACTTAAATTTCTATGATTATGAAAGCTCCTCTAAAAAGAGCAGTGACAATATACTTTTCTTGGGAACTCTTTTTAGTGCAACACCCAAAATGTCTTCAGTATTGCATCTGGGATGCCAGGAAAAATGTCACTCTTCTGGCTGTAGCTCCAAATCTTGGCACTAAGGAAAGTTTAGGAAATTCTTTGGATCTCTCCCTTGGTAATCCACATGTCTCCCCACGCATACATGTCCCAGCACTGCATGTGCTTGGTGCCTTCTTTAGCCCTCCTGTAGATTCTAGAGCTAGAGCATCTTGCCCAACCCCTTCCATTACTGATGGGCTGAGGGGTGAGTGGCAGGTGCTGGCTTGGAAAGTGCTTTGTTTATACCTCTGGGGCATGAAGGGGTTCCGTTTTCTTTTTCCGTTTCTGGTGCACAGCCCCCCAGAGTGGTGTCTTGAAAGCTATTTTTATAACTCTGTCACTGGCTGTTGCAAACCGGCCAGCACCACTGTTCGGTAACATTTGTGGGGATTGGGTATTGGCTCAGTCCTCTGGATTCCATTTTCCTGACAGGGATCTCAGGGCCAGAGCAGAGCCCTACAGAGTTCTCAATTCTGCCTCTCTTTGTGGTTCCCCTTGTCCTTTGGTCTTCTCTTGGGGATGGGTTTACACATTGATTTATTGAGTGAACCCACTGTGTTGGCTTCGTATAGACCTACGTGGACTAGATAAAATATTTCTTGCCACTTTGTCAGCAAGACGTCTGGGAACCCCCAGCCTGCCCTGCCCAGCATATTCATTCCAGCAGAAGTTTTCGTAAAGGCTGAAATTGTTTATTCCTCTTGCCTGGAGGGTCCATAAAGTAACTGCGCCTTTGAAGTTTGCTTCCTTAAGTAGTTCAGTGACTCAGAACGTCAATGTTGCCACCAACAAACTTCCTCTCCCGAGGCTGGCTCTTTCATAACAGGTAAAAGGAAGGGCTGACAAAAACATGTAATGATGGGATAGCCTCCATTTACCAAGTTGCAGAAATACACTCATCCTCTCTATTTTAACTACCATTGACTTACTGCTTTCTTTGTGCTGAGCAGTGTATGCACATTGCCTTTAAATTTCGCACAACATAGGGTGTCCTGGGTGGCTCAGTCGGTTAAGCCTTTAGCTTTGGCTGAGGTCATGATCTCACGGTTCATGGGTTCGAGCCCCGCATCAGGCTCTGTGCTGACAGCTAGCTCAGAGCCTAGAGGCTGTTTCAGATTCTGTGTCTCCCTCTCTCTCTGACCCTCTCCTGTTCACGCTGTCTCTCTCTCTCTCTCTCTCTCTCAGAAATAAATAGAACATTAAAAAAATAAAAAAAAAATTTTTGCACAACGCTATGAGATACTATAACACCGATCTAATAGAGGAAGAGACTGGGATTTGGAAAGTTACAAAAATTTTCAAAGATCAGGTAGATGGTAAGCAAAAATTCCAGTAAATGGAAACACATTTATTCAGTACATGTATGTTCCTAGTTACCGTGAGAAACATGAGATATAC